TTTCGCGACGACTGGATCGCATTCCTGCCAGCCAGCAAATTCTCGGATGAGTGGTCTGGACCAGACTGGAACCCGTCATCCACCTGACCCGGTTATGTGAACTTGTCGCAGAGACCTCTCGCAGCTTATATGTAGCGGAAGCTGGAAAACACTTGATTAAAGTATGTGAAAATCATTTCTGAACCATTTACTACTATAAATCGCGCTATGTCGTCAGTTACGACATAAACAAAAACCATAGCGTATCTTACGACGTTCGGAGCCAAGGTGCTAAGTGATTATATCGTACGTGTGGGTGCGAATAGCCTCCTTCGTGGCATCACGATGCAGAGAATTGCCGATAGCACACCTTCGCCCTACCTACTATTTGTAGCGTAGATAGCGTGAGAGCTACTAAGACGCTTAGGAAGAACACTGTACCAGCTCGGGTCTCGAACGGATGTTTGCGGGTGACCCAGCCTGCACACATTGGAGCCCTGGCTCCATCGGATATCTTAGCCCACTCGTAATATAAGAACAAGATTTTCGGGTAGCCGTACCCACCCGAAGGCGAATCATATGCATATTGCAAGTTTTTCTATGCGTAGAAACTTAATTAGTATTCACACTTTTAACCCCGATTTATAGGGTAAACGTAAATGCTCATGCTTACCTCTAACTACAAATCGGGTAACCGCACCCAGCCATGATACAGATGGGCTCAGTACCAGAGTTTCGGGTACCCGCTGTAGCAAGTCGCTCTTTGATATTATTAAAAAAACGGCTAAAGGAAGGTGGAAACCTGGAGCTTAGTTCAGCAACGAGGCTTCTCTTTTGATATTTTCTTAATAGAAGCAAAACATTTGAGGTCCGCTTGAAGATTAATGACTCGATCTGCGTCGTCTATACTCCGCAGGTGTACCTGCAGCAGCCCAATCGTCTCAATTTTTGTCTTGAGCTGGCGAAGTAGACCACCCCGACCAGTCATTCCCGCGTCGTTGGACCCATAGTTTATGTCTCAAACTATTTCGTAAACCTCGCGCAAGAGAGTCAAATCCTCGTCTTTCCTTTTTGTAGCTGATCCATTCGTTAAGCTGGAGGGTCGCCGCTCAGACGTGGTCGGGAGGCTCGTAGGCTTTATTTTGCCGAAGTTGGCAATCTTGGGCAGCCGCCCAATCACAGTTGCCATCTCGTCTGCAACCATAAATGTAGATACGAAATGTCAATTCGGCCATAGTAGAAATGGCAAAAATCTGGTTCGTGAGCTCCAAATTGCGTGAAGTTATTACGGCAGCGCTAGTAGTTTCCCCCCAAATAAAGAGCCATGGCGGGATTTTCTGTTTTGCACAAATCGCCAAAAATTGGTAGATATACATCTTCCGAATACGAATGGCCAACATTATTATTGGTACAGTCTTTTGCCCCAATAAAGAACAGGTAAAAGATAATATTATTTAATGTTGTATAATTTTGAAGCTATAGCCACATGGATTGTAGTGTACTGCATTAGTAGATTAAGGTTTAAAATTCACCAATCGCAGCTTGTAAACCGGGGACACAGGCAACCACCCCCCCCGCAAGCGTGGAATCCAAGCTTTGCGCCGGCGTGAAGTTTAATTCATTCCTGCATTCTCTCTCAAGCAACGATGTCGCCTATGTTCACACGGAAGAGGCCGTTTAAGAAGCGCATTCGTCCCACAACAGAGCAAGAACTACAAGGGTGCATGCGTCGCCGCTCTATGCCAACCGAGTCGTACACGGCGATAGCTTCTTGGGCCAAGGCCCAGTTTTGTCTTATTGACGCACCTTCAAAACAAGTAATCGGGCGCGTGCTCAAGTCCGGGAGCTCCCTCCGCCGACTGACCCGAGTGTTTGGCTCGCAAGAAGCGAGGCCCGCTACACCAGTTGTGTCTTGACCAGTGTGTAGTCGAGTTCCTTACTTTTTGCGAAGAGTACCAGCTGGCCCTGTCGGGTAGCATGATTGTTGGCTATGCACTTAGACATGAGCTCTCACCAGAGACGATCAAGCATTGTTGGCGCGACCCTGGTTTACTAACAAAAGCAGACATTAGCTTTATTCTCAATTAACATGATACAGTTCTTTTCAGCTCTCGTCGCTCGAGCTTTTGCATGTTCAACCAAATGACCTTGTGCTTTGTACCGTATTTCGCATGTAGAGAGATGCACCTAAGGTTCACATAGCAAATCAAACCCGGATAAATACATATTCAAAAGACACAATCAAATTATACAGGAACCTTTTTTTCCTTTAGAAAAAGTGTGTTTACACGACGGCTACGTCAGCACTCACGTTGCCATCCTCCTCTGCGGTGAGCCATCTATCAAAATCGTGATCTTCGTCAGTACTTAACCCTACTAGCGATAGTCGCTGCAATTCGTCCACCAAAGACGCAGCCGCAAGGCAGTCGGTGTCGAGACGCAAGTCGCACTTCTTGTACCCATTTTGGATGGTTTCAGCACTCAGAGCTTCCCAACTGCTGCACACCCATCGGCACATCCCCGCGCGTCCAGGCGGCGCTAGCTTGAACTTTGATCCCTGTTCTCTTGGCTTTTGCAGCTGTTCTTGCAAATTTTCGAGCCAGCACCTACGTAGTCCGCTTTTGAAAGGATGGTTCCATGCTACGTCTGCCGGTTGACAGACAGACGTAGCATTTGGTGGCACCTTCATCAACACGACGTTGATTGAAGAAGCATAGGCAAGAACCTCTGCGGTCCAATGACCGCTAAAATCGTCCCAGAGGAGAAGCACGGGCTCCTCTTGGAACGATCGGCCGCCAAAGTGGAACTTCAGAAACTTCAGCGATAGATAACTATTCCACCAGCCTAAGTAAAAAATAATTAGAATCATTACAGCTATTAATAAATCGCTTTTAAAACACATACCTTTTGCATTCGTGTATATTTGCAATTTGGTCTCTTCTTGAAGGCGCTTGATCTCCGGCCACGTTCTAACACCAAATCCGAAGCGCTTTTCGATATTTTCGGCATGAGTCCTCTTAATCTTGGATGGATTCATCTTGAAGATGACGAACGGGGTGTATTTAGTCCCGTCAGAGTCTCCCAGTAGCATTACTTTAGCTCTTTCTTTAGAGGCTCCAGCACACTTCACCCAAACGGTTTTGGCCCCGCGTTTACTGATAGTTCTTTTCACAGGCAAATATTCAAAGAAAGCAGCTAGATAAAAAGTTAAATTAAAGCGTTTTTAATAAAATCAAGTAAAAATAAAAATAAAAACGAACTAGTTTGGTCTGCATTAAAAATGCGCTTGATACCCAGCTGACGAGCCTTCTTCTCAACTTCAATAGCAAATGCTACTTTTACCTTGTCAGCATCCGAGGGCCTGACTTGCCCTTGACGAGTAGGTACACGCATACTCAGGCGGTGTCGAAGTCTAAAGCCCTTAATCCACTTATCTGAAGCTCTAAATCCGTTGATGCCAGCTTCCATGGCAGTCTGACGCGCTTGAATCGCTAGCATTCGAGGCGATACTGGTACACCCTCTTCCCTTAAGCACTTCACCCACTCCACAATCTCTAATTCTACCTCCTTACTCAGAATCGTTCCTACACCTAAGCTCCTTACCTTTTGATAGCCACCTTTATTCTTCTTCAATGCTGACCTTAGCTTTGTTTCCTCCCGTCGCCAGCGCTGAATCATAGTGCGCTTTGAGTTGTAAAAATCAGGATTTAGATCGTGCCAAAACTGATCAATGGTATGACGCATTTTAGGAAGAGGAGCATTTTCCCAAAACGACAGAATTTGTAGCTTCTTCTGCACCGTGATGCCCTTGACCGTGTGTTTGGTCTGGTGGCGTCCCTTACCACCGACACGTGGTCTGCCCACTGGGCGAGGCTTCGTGCGTGACATGGCAAATGACCGACTGCCGGCGCAAATTTTTCCGCAAAGACTTGGTTGGCTTAGAAATGGTGCATCTCTCTACATGCGATTCCTCAATTCAAGATAGCCGGATGTGATTGGTCAATATCTAGGTGCATCTCATATGAGGGTGCAGCTCTCTACATGCGAAATACGGTATATATATCAGGTGTTCTTTATTGGGGCAAAAGGCTGTAGTGATGGTATATTTAAAGTCTAGGGATTACGACTGTCTGTATTCACGGAAACAGGTGTGTACAACAATGTAAAGTACAATTTTTATTTTATGAAATAGAGATAATTAACCGAAGCTTTAGGCAAAGCATGGTCTCGAAAATACGCTTACTTCTAAATTTATTTGATTTTTTCCACTCGCAAAGTATACTCCACGCCTTGAATGACGTACTGGTAGGAGCCATTTATCGCCTTTACAGGTAGCACATCTCTTGGTTTCGGACGGATTCCGTATGATCCAGCACAGTAGTACCGATAAGGACCAATATATTATGTGCTGCCACTTTAAAAAGTCCTAAATTTGAGTCAACATAACTTTTCATCGAGATGTCCTATTTAATTAAAAAAACTATAAAAATGCGCTCTTTTTAGGCTATTTTAATCAGAGAGCTGTAAAATGTTGCCTACTTTGGCACTGCTTTAAGAAATGTCCTCATTTTAGCGGGGAAGCTTGAATGAGTGCAAATCAATTGAGCTCAAATCGCTTCGACAAAAAAACATTAAGCCAATAGAAATTAAGAACAAACCTAAACTGTGATATTTAATTGGCTAAAATTTCTGGCGCGAAACCTTACAATAGGTTCACGTGTCTTTTCGGCCTGGTACTGGTGAAGCGTCATTTCAAACTGTCCAAAAGTTGCTCGAGAAAGAGAATCTATCGATGGTTCTTTCGCGGTTCTGTGTTCTTTCACATTTACCATGGTATGACTCGAATCACTTGGGCGGTGCACAGATAATATGAGCTTTGTAAGAGGATGACTTCGTAGTTTGCGGAAATTAGCTTGCTAATTCGACGGCAAATGATTAGTTCGCTTACACACATTGCACTAAGCTAACCAGGTTAGCTTCATAAGACAGCACCAGACAACTGCATTTACTCCAACACCATCTTACAGCGTCTTGCCCATGGCTCGGAATGCCTTGATATTGGCCTTGGCCGCCGCAGACACGCGCTTATACAGTTCGGGTCGGTATCCAAGAGCAAATAGAGCCTCCAGTAGTACAAACATCGGAGCCGTAACCAGCGCCTGATCCAGACTTTCAAAGAGCGCCGGTTTGCGACGCTCAAAGACGCCATGACCGATGAATTGCATAATCCAAGCGAAGCAGTGGACACCCAGTGCGATCTGCCAGCCTGGGCGCTCGAAGCGGTTTGGAGCGTAATCTTGGACAAAGAAATTGGCGAAGATGTAGCTGATGAATATAAGAACGGCGCCCAGAGATCCAGCAACTCGGTCCAGCAGGATGTACCAAACCATGTAGACGCCAGCAAGGATACAGGATGGGTTCATCATCATGTACTGGCCGTATGGTAGCGACGCCATGAAGTTCGGAGTCTCAGCGAATGGCTCTAGCGATGCGAACATGCAGAGCGCTGAGATGAAGATCTGCCAGATACAGGCGAAGTGAATATACTGGTTGATCTTGTTGTCGTGGTAGGAGAGGTAGAATGTCACTTGCTTCTCGAGATCGAAACGGTCTGCCCAGGCCACCAAAGTTGAAAGATTCTGTGTGAGTTTTTGGATTGCGGAGATTGAAGCGAATTGTGGAATGACTTAATCGATTGGCATGTTAGTCTCGGAATGAATTTTTGAGGATGATGGAAGATTGCGAAATGTTTTTCTTACAAAAATGGTTCGCGATTGGTGGAAAATACTGGTCTATTGCAATCGGGTTGGTGGAAGCAAAGACACGCAGAAGCGACTAATCTTCGAGACGGTCGACTTCAACGTCGTAGCTCAGTAAGCTACGAGTGTTTCTGTGCATTTGCTGCAGTGTCGGGCGCGTACGCTGTGCATGATTCTTTGAATCCAAAGTATCCCCAGTCCCAAGCATCGATCCTCAAATAGATCATTTGTAAGCGGAACCACTTCAATCTCAGATTGCCGTCAAGATCTGCGAGCTTCAGACGAAGCTGGATATACTGAAGCAGCTTGTTGACGGGGTAGGAGAGGTAGAATGTCACTTGCTCTCTACCAGATCGAAACGGTCTGTCCAGGCCACCAAAGTTGAAAGATTCTGTGTGAGTTTTATGGATTGCGGAGATTGAAGCGAATTGTGGAATGACTTAATCGATTGGCATGTTAGTCTCGGAATGAATTTTTGAGGATGATGGAAGATTGCGAAATGTTTTTCTTACAAAAATGGTTCGCGATTGGTGGAAAATACTGGTCTATTGCAATCGGGTTGGTGGAAGCAAAGACACGCAGAAGCGACTAATCTTCGAGACGGTCGACTTCAACGTCGTAGCTCAGTAAGCTACGAGTGTTTCTGTGCATTTGCTGCAGTGTCGGGCGCGTACGCTGTGCATGATTCTTTGAATCCAAAGTATCCCCAGTCCCAAGCATCGATCCTCAAATAGATACATTTGTAAACGGAACCACTTCGAATCTCAGATTGCTCGTCAAGACGTCGAGCTTCGACGAAGCTGGATTTTATTAAGCAGCTTCAACAAGGTGATCCCACCTATGTGTCGCAGCTTCTCTACCAGACCGAAAAGCATTTTTTGAAACACGTTCGATAGACCATAGTAAAGCTGCCATTGAACGCTTTGACTTAAGGAGCGTCTGAGCAATCGTATCCGACTTCTATCTCTTTTCCACGAAGTCCTCTTGATCAGCAAGGACTTCCAAGTATATCAAAACCAGTTTACTATGCAGAATAAGCGAAAGAAATCGGGTAAGCCGATCTCAATGGAACATATCGACGTGCTTGATGAAAGTACTGAAAAACATTTCTGGTATATTTTGTTCTGTAGCTCAACAAGCATTTATGTTTCTCGCCATACCCACAGGAATCTAGTCTGCGGCTCGAAATGCCTTAATGTTTGCATTGGCTGTTGGTGACAAACGTTTGTACAGTTCTGGGCGGTATCCACAAGCGAAGAGAGCCTCCAGCAATACAATCATAGAAGCTGTGACGACAGACTGTCCATGACCCCCCGGTTTACGGCGCTCAAAGACACCATGACCGATGGGCTGTATGATCCAAGCGAAGCAGTGGACACCAAGTGCGATCTGCCCAGTCCGGCCGCTTAAAATCGTTTGGAGCACAAACCTGCACGAAAAAGTTGGCGAAGAAGTAGCCGACGACGATCAGGATAGCACCCAGAGAGCCTGCAACTCGGTCGAGCTGGATGTACCAAATCATGTAGATGACGGTACGGGTTATGCAGCATGTTCTGACTAAAAGGAAACGAGGCCAAGAAGCTTAACGACTCGGCGAACGGATCGAGGGCTGCTAACATGCACAGCCACGTGACGATGATCGGCCAGATGCAAGCAAAGTGAATGTACTGGTTGATCTTGGTACGACAAGTAGAATGGCACTCGCTGCTCGAGGTCGAACCGGTCCTCCAGGCCCCCATGACTGGCGTGTGAATACTTGAACTTGAGTTTGCAAATTGAGGAATGACCGAATCGCTGAATGGACACCAAATGGCTTAAATTCGGCCTGCCGCTTGGGTTTTCATGAAAATTACGCACATTCTTATTTAAAAAAATTAAACAACGTTATTTTAGTTTTTCCTTAGTTTACAATAAGACTTAGCTTAAAGAGAGCGTTTTACTAGATTGTAAGGCTTTTATTATAAAGTTCAGGTAGGAAGCTTAATAACTTTTGTTGTTTTAAACTCTCCACCATGATTTATTAGCGTAGTGAATGAATATCTACTAGCACTGTCTGTGACAAGGATAACGTAAAACATGGATACAAAGTTGATGGGCATACGTAATAGGAAACGATGAGCTTTTAATGATGACTTCGGCACCAGCAAAACCATAACTCAGTATTCCAGGCAAAGTGGCGACCTTAAACTTCGCAAGAAAGATCAATACATGTGCTTTTTTTGCAAGGTCCATAATTTTGCGTTTAACGTTACGTGTGTACACTTGAACTTTAGTAAAATGACTCGAGCATCTTGGCTGGGTATGATACGCTTTTGGCACATAAGTGTCTTGCAATTTGGTGGAAATTCAATGCGGTCGCAATCAGATTGGTGTAAAAAGTTACACAGAAGTTTATTTAATTATCGGTTACTTTCTCTTGCACTATATCACTGAATTTAATCCCTTAGTTCCCGGCCTCAAATATGAGGGTATATTTTGACCTCGTCCTATATACAGATATAAAGGAATTTGTATGGGGTTTCAATTAAGTCCGGATATCTTGGCGCGGGTTCGGGGTGGTAACAACGACTTGCCAGTGTGTATAGTACGGATTCTCCAACATAAAGGAGGGTTTATGTAGTACATTGAGACGATCATATACAACTATGCTGTATAAATAAACATAAGATATGTACTGTTTATTGATTAGCCTATCTTTGTGCTGTTGCATACGTCCAGCAGCGGTGAGTTCATTTATTATAGCCAATAACAAGAAAGATCAAGTGCCGTATCAATTGATTGCTCCTTGCATAGACATGTACGACCAGACGGCGCAACCACTACGCCTCCTCCTCCACCGCTTCATCATCTTCTTCGCTCGACTCCCCAGCACCAGCACCAGCACTTGCTCCGCTCTCGCCTACCTGCTGTCTGCGTCTCCGCTTCTTGCCTGGCCGCGACGCTGGCGGTCGTTCACGTGTCCTGTGCTCTTGCAGTAGGTCGCGCGGGATGTCGTTGCCGTTGTTCCAATCAGCATGCCAAATGCTGAAGCACGTACCGACCCTGCCTTCACGCGGAACGTTGCATAGGTATTTACTAAATCAAAACGAGTTAGCCAAAGCTTACGGTAAGGGTACCAAGCGAGCTACGCACCGTTTGTTCCCGTTCGAGCACTCCGGGCAGAAGTATTTCGTAAAATTGCGAGGCTTGACCTTGTAGATGGCACAGACTTTGCATGATCGGTGGCGTCGCTTCACACCCTGCTCGCAATCGACAGTATCTGGGTTTTCTTCTAAACAATGTCCGTCGATAGCTGACGATGCGCTTCCTTGTAGCTGTGTTGAATCTGCTCTTGCCGGCGAAGGGGCAGTTCTATCTTGCGCATATGTCGCTTGCTGCTCCAATATAGTCAAGCCCACCATAAGTTAGTTGTTATGTTGGAAGGCTGCTGAAGCAGATGAGGTTATGTTGACTGGTCAACATTTGACTTACCTCAATCTCGTCAAACGCTTCGATTGAATCTACTGCCAGTAGCTGCTCCATCAATTCCTCAAAAAACGAGAAGTGTTTTGGCGGGCGCCTGTTGTTTACCTTTCGATAGTGTCGATGAACGATAAACGCGTTCACGAGCGCCATATCCAGAAGCCCCAGAAACAGAGTCTTGTAGTACTTGCGTGTTTTGTAGCAAAGTTGCGCTGTAACGTTGCAACCGGAGTTGATCATGGACGTCGACTCCACCCATCCAGCGGTGGTAGTCGCGAACAAGCTCTGGAGCCGGCACCGGCGTCATTTCTCCGTGGATGCGTCTCACTAGAATACAAATACAATTAGTGCTAACACCCAAATGGGAACCCAATGCATGTAGTACGTACTCACGGTGCCGGTTTGGCGGCTGCCCCCACTTGAGAGCAGGTGCACCGGATTACGGTCCATCCACATGGCAGCAGTAAGTTGCGGAAACATCTTGTTTTGAGCCAGCTTGATGGTACCTTGCGGAGGCACCAGTACCTCGCGCCTGTTCACCTTTTTTTTTCTTTTTCGTAGTGATCACTCCAGCAGCGTAACCTGATCTATCCGTCTGTATCGTCCCCGTTAGATACATCCGATAATGAAGCAGCTCCAGCGCCAGCTTCACCGACGTGTAAAACCGGTCTGTGATTACCAAACGCCACGGGGAGGTCGGTGATGGCGGGCACAGCGCGTTCATGTTCCTTAGTACGGCAGCCTCGCCGCAATTATTATCAGCAGTAATCGGAGTCCGGAGATTACTCTTAGCACCACAGTACACCTCGAATCTGAACAGTCGCACAAACGCACACGATATTAGTAAAAGTAATAAATATGTTGGATTAGGAAATTCTCCACAATGTGGATGTTTGCCCGTCCAACATAAGCACATAGACCAAAAAAAAGGTGGCAAGCATTAGCTTGCCACCTTGAACGCACCTCATGCAATAAGCTGTATCTGCACACGCTGCCACGAACACCTTGGTCCCCCACTTGTGCGGTTTGTCCTTGTTGAACTGTCTGGTAGGATTGTAGCGGGATCTTGAAGGCAGCGTAGCTTCGTCAAAGCTAATGACAGGAGGAATCTTGTAGCCGCGCGCAAATGTACGCTGTAAAACCTCGATAACCGGCCGAATCTTCCATACACGATCCGTGCTAGCTTGAAGCGACTTGTTGTTGGAGAAGTGCAAGTATCACATTATGTGGAAGAACCGGTTGCGAGACATGTACTTGCCGAAGCGTGGCGTTGGCAACGCACCAGCCGGTGTCAACTCCCAGTGAGCAGCAATCCCCTTTCGCACTGGAGACAGCATCCTTGCAATGAGAAGCGCGATGATGCGCAAAAACTCCCACGGTTCTATCGGCTTCACACGTGCTAGTCGCCGACGAATATCTGCGAGGTTCTCTACTTCTCCACCACCACGACGCTGCTTCGCTTGAATCGCCTGCGCACGACCCGGTATCGACTGCGTGTGGTAGCGATTGCTCTCGACGGCAATCTGTCTCCACAATTTTGGCGGTAGGTAGTAGAAGAACAGCGCCAGTGGGTCTTCAGCCACTCCAAGGACGCTCTCAGATGGTCCATAAGGCCCGTCGTAAAGGTTTTCATACGTGGGATTGTCTCCAAATTTGGACTGGTCTACAAATAGCACATCAAAGTGAGTTAGATAATGTTAACATTATGTTAGACAACGACGGAATAATAGTTGCGTATGTTGGATAGCGTTCAACATAACTTACCATACGCCCAGCCAGAATGTTTCATCTCCGCCAAACGCGCCGCATTCATCGCCACCGACTTGCAGAACGTGTCCGGTAGTTCAGTTCCAACGCAATCGGCTAACTCCTCATCAGAGAGTTCTCCAAGCTCCCAATCTCCTTCCCACTCACTGTCCGCGTCGTCATCGTCTGAATCAGGACCAGATTCCTCTTCTGATCCGAGGCCAGTGCACTCACGTGCACCAGCCGCCATGATGTTAGGATCACCGTCGACTACGCAGGCGACAGGGAGATGCGGGGCAGCTGACGCAGCACCGGTGTCTGTGGTGTCACTTATGGTGCCTTCAGCTTGAGCTTCGCGTTCTGGACTGTCTTGTAGGACGCGGCGGCGTCGTTTCGGGGATCTTTGCGTACCCGGCGCCTGCTTGTTCGTCCGAGGGGGGCGCAAGGTCTCCACAGCGCCTTGAGCATCTCGCACAGGCGTTAGAAGCGCACTTGAAGCCACAGTTGAAGCCACAGCCATCACCACGTCTGCTACAACTTCCTCCACCTCTGGTTCCACAGAATCTTCCTCATTTTCTGCAACAGGTATTACCTCTTTAGCTTCGTCCGTACTCGCTGTTGCTTCTGTCTCTTTGGGTGATGCCGGCTCAATATGTGGACCTCTAGACTCTGCTATCTCCATGGCTGTCGTCGTAAGTTTCACCGCCCTCTTCCTAGACTGCTTCTTCAACGCACGCCCCTCAGCGCCATGCTTTGGCTCTGCTGCTGACTGCCTCTCGTCGTCTCGACGAAGGCGACGCTTGTGGCGGTCACTGAGGGCTGCCTTGCACAACCGGGTCTCTTCCGCTGTCAGCGTCCGTCGTGGCATCTTGCCAGACGTCGCCACCATTCTGGTCTGCTGCCCCCGCGGTCATTTTGAAGTATGAGAGAGTTTTGTGACTGTCGGCCACCCGTTGGTGGTGGGTGACACCGCCTCTCTTTATCTCGTTCAATCAGGAATCCATTCCAGCTACCCTAAGCCTGTATATCCGGCCGTTTTAGGCTCCCACTTTTGTCTTGACTTCAGTATTGAGCTTTCCTGCGCTCTCTTAAGATCTGTTCAATACAAACTCCAATTCAGTTTTTCTCTTATGTTTAGCCGCTAAACATAACATAGATGCCGAAAAAAACTGAAAGAAGCTATACACCTCTTATGTTTAGCGGCTAAACATACGGGAACTAAGGGGTTAAAGTACCAGCGTGCCAGCAGCAAGTTAGTCTTTCAGTAATTTGACGCAACAAAACTGACATTTTTTATTAAATGATAATTACTTGATACCAAATATAACTATTTGGCATCCTTCACGCATTGTACAGCCGGCTGTCTTATTTTGTCGGCGGTCAACATTGTCCAAGGCAGAAATTAGGAGAGAATGAAAACACTCAGCAGTATAGCCGTGCTTAACATCGGACTACACGATTGCTGAATCTTACGTGACGTGACGGAACAGCACTCCAATTACAAATTGTAAATCAACAACATCGTGTTGAGAAATGCCTTTAAGTATTTATCGATAGCCTGAAAAAGAGAAAAAAAACTTTATTAATAGTAAAGAATTTTTTTTTATCTAGCGTCTAACACCTTCAATATCTATTAAAGTTAGGATGACATAGCAATCTCTTCTAATTCCGAGAGGCTCTTCGCTATGCTTTCAGCCCCGCTCACGAGACAGTTTAACAGCAATTGTTCTTCCATGGACGTGCGTTCATACCGATTGTCGGTGAGTAGCCACTCAGCATACGCAGCTTTCATGTGAGCAACCACTTCAGAAGTTGTGAAATCTTCGACGTTCAGGACATCATATTCTCGTCGTATGAAGACAGAGGCATTTTCCGATGAAAAAAAGCTTGTTCCGTGTGTTTCCGAGATCGCAGAGGCAGTAGCAGCTTCTGCCTTCTCTAAAATGTTATCTTCGTTCTTACAAATCCGCTGAATGCCCTCGTTTTTGATATCCGTCGGTAGCGTGTTCGATAGAAACGTTGGAGACGTTGGTTTTACTCGATGATACACTTCTATCTCGAGCTTGAGTCCATGTTCTAAAGCGTCCATGAAATCTTCGAATGACACCGTAGTTCGACCTGGTCTCCCAACCACATCCATAAATTCCTGCACATATTTCTTGATCTGTTCCTCCTCTACTTCTCCAGATTGAGCAAATATGGTTCCAAGCATAAACGTCACATCGTCGGCGTTCAATTCCCCACTGCAGTCTTTATCTGCAAGGCGAAACGCTTCCTTCATTTGCATGAAGACTGCAGTTTGGTCGGGGTCTGCATAACAAAATGTATCGCAAAATACTAACTCCATGGTCTCAAATATATCCCGAACTAAAGACTGAAAATGAGTAGTCGAAACTCTCCACTTCGCACGACTATCAAGATCGTCATCCACAGCCATTCCTTGGACGTCATCACGGATATCCGTAGGATGAAGCTTTACGCGGTTCTGAGAAACCCGGAAGTGGAACCAGCGCAGTAGTTTAAATAGCAGATAGTTACTGTTTAGCAATCCTTGTGAGATCTCCAGTACCCGTTTGTACTTGTCAGTAGAGAAATGAGGTCTCCATAATAAAGGTTCAACCATCGCTTCAACGAGTAATTGACGCTGTCTCTCGAGACTCTTTGGCAATGTCACCACCAACATACGGCGTATGTCGGCCATACTAGCTTCGTCCATAGCTACCGAGCTCGAAAGGTGATGTCCAAATAATTCATCGAATGTCATTTTATGTAACTTGAGAGAATCCACGATACTGTGACGTAGCATTGATATCGCACTTTTTGGGAAGATGATGGTCTCGACAGAGATGAATATAACCACAGCCACTGACGTTTGAGCGAGACTGGAGTACGACGCAACAGCAATGGAGCTCGAACTATCGGATCCGTTCGGATAACAAATATCCGTTTGCCGCATGAGTGTGTCAGACGCCACGAATGCTGCCACCAAGCCGCTGTAGGCTCCGTAACCTCGTCCGAAGTAGACGTACATACACATTCCTACCCAGATGAACAGCACTATGTTGGATAATACGATACTAAGTTCTTGAGGATCGCATATTTGTACGAAGAAGAACTTGAAGACAGAGGGAACCACACTCCCAGCTACGACTCCACCGACGCGATTTACCGTCGTTCGGAATGAACTCCCAATGGTTTCGCACATGATGTATGCGATTGTAGACGGCACCGAGGCACTGAAGCCATAGACACCAACACTGAACGCTACTCCCGCCATAACAGCGATAGTAATCTTGAAAGCATTAATCCACATGGACGGATTTTTGTAGTATTCCGGATCAATGATTTTTTTCAGTGATTTCCTCACGAAGGAGCGAACTCGATGCGCATCGTCGTATTTTCGATTGTTGTGCGATTGCTGGAAGTTGAGTAAAGTGCTGCAAAACGAGTTGAGGGAGAATAAAAACAAATTTAGTGGCACATTTTCTGCCACTTCTTCCGAAGTCACCGGTTCCTTACGGAACGTGCGGTTCTGAGTCTTCCGAAACCGGTATAACGCCATTTCCACCTGATTTTCTAACGCACCCAGCGACTTCAGATCGAGATCTACAAGAGAATACTATCGTTAGAAGAGAATATTTTTAACGCAGTGTAACTTTTTGCGACTTACGCGGAGACAGAGCGTGGACCTCGTGTGATATTTCGTTCAGTAAATCGTTCGAACGGGTCTGGATTACGTAAATCTCTCGCTTAAGTATCGCCATATACGTTGTATGCAGCCGTCCGTATTTCTCCAGCCGCATGGCATAACTTAGTGTCCGTAGATCAGCAATAAGCGAGCCAACCAATGTAATGTAGGTTCGACTCATGACTCGGTTGAAATGGAGCGGATAATGAAGCCCGAAGCATTGTTCCCACCACGAATCCTCCAGAAGAGATATCATTCGACGATAACGTGCTTCAGCGTCGTCAAACTTTCGTCTCAGTCTGAGCTTTAGAAAATCCATATTTTCCACATTTTTATTCTTGAAGCAGTAGGAGTCCACGACGACATTCAACAGCTCCAACAGATCATTAGCGGCTTTTTGGGAGTCTTCACGTAAACGAGAGATGGCACTGTAAACGGTGGACATAATATATGTTAGATTATTTTTCTAAACGGCTGAAAGGGAACCAGATACTTACAATATTGGATAGGGGACGCACATAGTCACCACCGATATTAATGCACCGAGGAGACCAACGATGGCAAACACACGCAAGTTTCTCAATATATTACTCGTGTCGAAGAGCTCTTCGTCAATACTTTTGAGTTGGCCAGGTTTTATAGGATTCGCCGGGTTGATAATTGTCAGAGCTGTGGAAGACGATCACGTTAGAACATTTGCTCAACGTTTTATTGGACAGCACTTACTGAAGTAGGCGTTTGTGCCCACCGCGTACTTGCGCGTATTGGTTTGAAAGGGTAAAACCATGATTAGGACGGTAAAAACGAGAATCCCGGGCAAAGTCGCGTACAGGTTGGGTACATTTATCCAGTACGCGCTCGAGTTAAAGGCTTTGTTGATTTTATAGTAGTTTTTGAAAGGGTCGTCTGCGTTACTGTCGAATCGTTCCACTTCAATGAAAGCGAACAAAATATAATTGTACAAAAGCGCCACTCCCACTCCAGAGAAGCCTTGGCAAACTTCACGGATCGTGCCTCCGACGTTGTAAGCCATGGAAAAAATCACCATAATGGCACAGTAACTGAGACCACCAAGATAATACCAGTCCGGGAAAAATAACCACTTCTTGTCGTGGGCGTGGGCAGGATCGTAGGCTTTGTCTCGGGTCTGAATAATCGACGAGAGTACCACAGCGAACGATACACGCAACGCCATTTCAGCGTTTAGCCGGAACGCACCTGTTTGTTTTGTGACATGGTTTAAATAAATACAGAACCCGGATTGGGCAGTTGAGTTACTTACTCGACAGTCGACTAGGACTTAGAAATCCTTTGCGGCGTTTGTCCAAGTTGATTCGCAGTTTTGTGGCAGTCTCACCGGCGACATCGGTGGTGCTTGTGAGGATGCGTTGGCGTTGCCTCAGCTTGATCTCCGCTGGTGACTCGGTGACAAGAGGTGCTTCGGTATTGCTATAGGCATCGGGTAGTGTCGTTAGAGATAGGATGATAGGATGATTCCTACTCAATCTTAAGCGTACGTTGGGGAACAGTCGTTGTCTTGGCTCTCCATAGTACTGGAGACTGTCATGGCTCTTTCAAACCAAACTTTTATAAATGACAGGACAGTTGTGAGTCTTCGCTTCAGCTATTCTTGTCTAGACAGATATCTGTAGGGGTTTCTCTGATGAAACGGATTTGCTCCAAGGATACCGATTATTAGCAGGATTTATAAAATATATGTTGATATATAGAAATCCTGACATGAATAGAATTTGGTTTCCATAGATCACCGAGTACACAACTGCTTGTGCATCAGCGTCCTTGCTCAACCGTTAACCTTCTGGTACATAAAGTTTAGTTTATTTTAATACTTTAAATGTAGTCCAGCTAATTATTACGCACGAGAAGTTTCCAGTCGCCGGAGAATGCATTGAGTGCTAAAGAAACATTTAGGTTAGCGTGTTTGATGCATCCTCGTGAATGCGCCATATTGCTGAGGAGCTGCCGTATGGCTATAAATGATTCTCGAAATACATGTATACCACTTTAAGTAAAGTGGCGCATGTTCTATCGTAGGCCCCGCCTTGGATCTAGATGGTTTGCTTCTTAAGTCCCTCGCCAATCCGGCGTACAAATTCTCGTACACTGGAGTGGCTCATAAATCACCATATATAGCTACTCGTACGCTGTAGCCATTTGTAGAAGCATGTCTTGTAGCCATTTCTTGTCTATTGTCTGACGCACTTCAACTTCGCCTCCGAAAATTCGCCTCACTAGAAAAATGTAAAGTCTGCGGCAACTTCTTTTTTCACCAATCCAATCTACCCATTCGCCATCATTTCAACCAATAAATACCTCACTCTTCACAAAACGCCACATTATCCATCCCGCACTGAACGAGGAAACGCCACTTCATGGACGACGGCACAAGCAGCGTCTACTCGGCCCCGACGCCTCTGCGGCCCTTCATGGACGGCGGTGTGCTGTCTACAGATGCCAGCAGCAACAGAAAGCGGCGCGTGGAGGTGCTGGGCGGCCTCACACCGACTGTAACCCGCGCTCCACCGGGTTCTTTAGGCTCTCCAGCCGTCCGAGCTGCCTCTAACGGGCCATCAGTGCTCCAAATGTTCACTGCCGACCACTCCGGGTCCAGGCTAGGCAGCAGCTTCTCATCGACCTCATCAGCGTCCACATTAGCGTCTTCTTGGGGCGTCCGTAGCGCTCGAGACCCGGAACAAGAGCCCGAGCTCAATATGAACGGTAATCTGCCCAATAAACGCTCGCGAGTGGCGCCCTACGCCCTGCCAGGGCCAGTTATCATGAATGGAGTACCAGACAACCGCGTGATGACGTCCAGCATCTTGACAAGCGCTGTGGACAATAGAGAAGAGCAGTTTGAGGCCATGAAAGAAGACTCGCAGAACCTCCTGGAGGCGATGAGTATATCTCAACAGAACACGCAAGAATGTACCCAGACACTGGAGGACAGTCCTTCCTTGTGTCTAATGCGCCTTGTACTGCACCCAGAAGTGGATAAAGCCGTTACAGCGTTCCAGAAGAACGCTCTGGAGAAGAAAGGACTGTACCGGATCGAGATGCAAATGCTAACCCCACGCGTAACCCTCGGAAGAGAAAGTTACGTTGGGATATTTGATATGAAAACGTCAGGCGTCGATCCAGTAAAGCTGAGCAGAACGCACTGCATAATAGAGACTGCATTGGACCCAGAGACCCACCGACACGCCGTGTTTATCACGGATAAAAGCACGAATGGCATCCGAATCGACGGTGTGCAAGTACAGAAGAACAAGAAATACAAAGTAGCAGACGGACAGAAGATCACGCTGCTGTCTTCACGTCAAGGTAATGTATTACTGGGCTACGTCGCTGAAGATCCACACGTTCGAGGAGCTCAGGAAGGCGGTAAGCTAACGCAAACAGCGATTCTGGCAGATTCCCAAGATAAATCACAGCAAGGACCGAATCTACAGGAATACACACTAGGAGTGCTGTTCTCGGCCCCTCTAGTGGGGAAGGATATCCACGGCAAATATCATCCAATAGCAGAGCTGGATGTCAAAAGGGAGTACTCGATTTTACAGAAGAGTCTGGTAGAAGCGTCCAAGTTTGCGAAGCGTCCGGCGGCAATCAACGACGCAGGTGGTAACAATGGACCTGGAACGATGTCCAGGATATACCAGTGCCCACGACAGATCAGTGTGGTGGCCAAGTTCGCCAACACAGACACGTTCCGAGCGATGGTGACGCTCGGCTGTCGAGCGCTTCATTTTTCCGGCCATGGAGATGAGAATCACTTGTATTTTGAAGATGGGATGGGTCTAGTGCACCCGATTCCTCATAAAGGGCTGCAGGAATTATTTTCTGCAGGTGGAGCAGGAGAATCGACGCTGCGTCTCGTGTTCGTGTCTGCATGTTCGTCTGCGCCACTGGCCTATGCGTTCGTAGCGTGTGGCATCCCTCATGTCATTGGAGTACGCACAAACCAGAAGATCGAAGACTACGCGGCGATTGAGTTCACACGCGCATTCTACTTGGCACTTGCAACTGGTAAACCAGTCGGAGCAAGCTTCACAATTGCTCAGCAATCAGTTGCGAAGTCTCCAAATATCCGAGGACCTATGGCTGTGGCGGAGAAGTTCATGCTGCTTCCTGAAGACGGAGACCACTCGGAGATTATCTTCCCTCTTGCAGCAGTGGAGTCGTCGAGTACTATTAATCTCGAACCGATGAAGAAGAAACGGTACCCGAAGCTGTGGTTCGATGACTTACCAGCCATGTGTCAGGGATTTTGCAATCGATCGGTGGAAGTGTACAAGATCTGCTTGGCGTTGATGATGACGCAGTCTCGTATCACTCGTCTCGTTACGATTTGTGGCGAAGAAGGTATCGGCAAGACAGCGGTAGCTCATGCGGTGGCGAATTATGTAGGCCCACGCATTACGTCCGAAGGAGGCGTGCGTATCTTCTCGGTAGCCAAACTAGCTCAAGACGAGATGGATGAACATGTGGGGATGATGCGACGTAATATCAATATCGCGAATGGAAGATGTCGCGTACTTACGCGGTTAGAAACGATGGTATCTGATCATCTAAAGCAACATAAGGCGCGGATCGAGTTTAACGGACAGCACATGCTTATGGTCATGGACGGCTGTGACTATCTGCTACGGAACGACTCTCGACGGGACCGATTCCGTGTCTTTTTGTCGGATATATTGACAAATAATGCGTCTCTAAAGATTGTGCTAACTGCGCGGACTTCTATCTGTGCAGACGGTGCTGTCCGTGGACATGGCGAACGGCTCTACACGCTGTCCAAGTTCGACATGAAGAGCGCGACGATGATGCTAGTGAGTCTCATGAGCCGGCCGATTCGTGTTGAGGAACTTAAACACGCACGTGCTGTGAACTCAACTGATAAACTGGAACTCATCGCGTCACATCCGGCACTGCGAGCCACTATGGGCATTCCTAAACGCATTGCCGATCTTGCAGGTAGGTTGAATGAAACAACCATGGATAAAATTCAAGTGGACGAGAGAGACGTGGGGCTTTTGAAATGAGGTTAACAGATGGATAGGGAGGCTAGTAGTACTACGTTAGTATACCGGTAATATAGCGAGAACTTGGTAAACGTTTGGTTGTTGTATCTCGATTACGTGTTGCAGATCTTCCAGTTGCTTAAACCGTAATCTTTTTTATTATTATTACTACTACTAGTACATGTAGTACTTCCGAAAACAGAAGTCCCCCTGAATAAGCGTAGCCTGTACTTCATATACCCCTTTGTATCAGATGGCATGGGTAGGAAATCATATAACAAATTACGAAAGCACTGATATTCCCTACGTAAATTAATCAGACGACCCCTTACCTTTAATGAGAGAGACTTCTGTACAATTGAGCAGATAATTCTGATCAGTTTCGTTTTTGTAAAGCAGGAGTATTAAATTTTTACATCCAAGTACAGTACCAGTGCAAAAAAGGAGGAAAGTGTTAGAAGCTCACGTCTCTCACAGCCAAAAGAGAAAAAAAAAGTTGACTGCACCATGCGCGCTATTCACCTGATGCTGCTTGTGCTGGTTAGCTGCAGCTCAATTGCACCTGCTGAGAGGGCTACCGGAATGAGTGGCGTAAATTCTCCTTTCCAGCCCGAAAATGAAGACCAGCGCTACTTGAGAGGAAGAACCAAGCCGCACGAAATCGATGAGGAGAGAGCTATCAGGACCCCCCAGCTTGACCAGGCTTCCAGTCTGCTTAAGCTCCCAAAGCTCTCAAAGCTTCCGGGGATCAAGCACCTTAACAAGTTTCGACTCTATCTTGCTAAAAAGGCAGGAAACGCACTCACGTCACGTATGAAAAAGCGCTACGACAGTAATCCGAACAACTTCATATAAAATGTGAGGTTTGCGACAAACGAGCAGTGGAACATGCAAAAACAATTCTAAGATTCTTTTTAGAAAAAATCGATTCTATTGGAAGAGTTTATTGAAATCACCCAGGTCAGTACGCTGCAGAAAACAACTCGGCTAAGTGGAGCATGACGTTTCGAAGTCTTCAGCAGCATTATTGCAGTTTAAGCTAAATTGTAGTTGTCTATCTACAGTCTGCTCGGTGAAGTACTGGGCCAATCGAGACCAACACTAGCGACGCCCGCGGCGGCTGGCCCGATACGGCCCTAACGACACATGCGAGCGAGCCTATCACCTCTAGAAAAATACCGGCAGAGCTCCGAAATCACCATGTTTAGGAGCCTCAGCGTCTCGATGCTGCGTCAAGTGGCTACTACGAGGCGTTGAAACCGCTGCAACTTCAAGCGAGCAATGACGAAAGGTAGACGGATGATGCCGCGCTGCCTGGTAGCGCTACGGGCTCTCATTGGACTGCCAGTCTGCTCAACACACGCCTCAACGGCCTCGATAGCTACGTTTACAAACTTTTAAAAGTAATTAAGAGGGAATAGTGATATTTCTGCACAATACTTAGCCGTCTATAGTGTAAGAAAAACTGAATAAAGCTAGAAATTCTAAAAAACATTTACGTCGAGGAGTAAAGTGAGCTATATTTTGTTTCGTTCACCAAGTTTCTATCAGTTTATACCCATGCTAAACCTTTCCTGCCGAGTGAAACCTATGAAATTGGTAGGAAAAAAGAGCCCTTTTCATTTGAAATTTGCATCGAATCGATGCCTACTATTGGTGTATGCACATAATCTCTAAATTAATCTCCTAGTAGGGCTACGCTACGTATCCTATTTCTCGGGGAATCGTTGAGATTTTGGTAGGTTTACTTAGTGAAAGGGACACTGTCTGTAGGCGCAAAGAGCTCGGAAATACGCCTACCTACTGTACTTGATGCTGACTAATATGTAGTTCAGGTAGATGTGAACAGTTTGGTTCCAGAACACACCTCGTCTGTGTCTTCCGTTGACGACACCGAAGCGTCTGCGTGAGAAATTGCTCCGCTAGCAGCGGCGCATTGTTCGTTGCGGAAACAGACTGTAAAGAAGGCGTGATCTCGTTAGCTACTCCGTCAAAGCAGCGTATGTACGGCCGATTCAGCGAGTTTCTCCTCGTGGACTGCCGTCACAAACCAAACATGTGAGAGATCTGATAAGTCCAGTATTTTTCAGGGCTTTATTTTGTACATAATAATCTACGTATTTTTTTTTTTACGTATTGACAGCTTTGCTTTATTACCGCTCAGATATCATTACCAGCTCTTGCCCTTCATGACATGAACGAATTTGGGGATGGTGCAGTTATTCAACACTCTCTTATCGAAGCCAACGAAGACTGACACATCGAGAGATCGATCGCTCACATCAAACGCTCCCATCCTACTTAGAATAATTTGCTTCGCGCTAACGTGGTAGACAAAGATCTCAATGATATCTGCGTGATAGAGGCCATTTTTCTGGGGTTCGCATTTGATTTGTCATTTTCACGCTATTAAGTACTTGAAAAAAATTTCGCATACCTTCTCGTACGTGTAATTCAATCATTTCGCCAGTGCAGTGATTAATTGATTTAATTTGCGGCTGAGGGCTGGGCAGATCCCATCTCTAAATAACCTCAATACAATCACGGCAGGGTTCGACAAGTACCGTTTTTTTTTTCTAACCAAAAGGTCAGGGTTTGACCAATTTGCTCAAAATAAACTATAGAGTTTCTTGCGCATTTTCCATTCTCCAAAAAGGTTTCTACCGGTACAACATAGGTACAGCGGGAATCGCAGCCTTACTGCAGCGATTACAGCAGCAGCTAGCCTTCTTCATTAATATTGCTATCCTAGATCATGTAGAATGACCGAGGCTGCGGGGAACATGCCATGCTCAGCAGTGACGACCCAGTAGCGTCGTCTAGTGAGCGGGTTTTTCTGGAGTATAGGAGCTGTTGCACTTGGTACCGTCGGTTTTTTTTGTTATCTCTTTATTTAACGTAGCTGTTTATGTTGGTAGACGCGGCGATCTTAATTATCAAGGCCAAGTGTATGAGCAAGAGCTTATGAAAAGTGGTCAAATGTTGCCGCGTTCTAATCAAGGTATTTCGCCGGTATTAAAGAAACCCCACCTGAGTCAGACCTCGTCGAACGTAGCACTAAAAAACAAACTACTGGTTTTAGCCAGCCAGACGAAATAGATGTCATGTTTTCAGCGAAACCGTTGCAGGCCAGGATTTTAATCATGGAACCGAACAGGCCATGATCGACGAAAAACAATCGCGTCGATTATTTACATGCGAAAGACACACCAGATCTCATTCACGTTTTCCGTAAAGTAGTACGGAGCAACACGTGAATGAGGACGATGCGAGTTTGCTGGAAAGACGACGCCATAAATCCTGGCGGCGACGAGGGCCAGGTTTGTCGGGGGTATCGCTATGTTTTGGTTCTGGTGAGCAGGGTGTGGGGGTTTAATGAGACGAGACACTAAACGCAGCAGGTGCTAACCGCCATCAGTCGATGGGGTTGAGCCATTTGAATGGTGATGACGAGGAAAAGCTCAGTCCCGAAGACCATGTGGATGATTTTCACGCTAGAGAGATATTTTTCACGCTGGAGAGGAAACCGGTCATGAGGTCTGCAAGAGGGAGGATGCAGCTTTTAGTGCATCTGACGCAGATGATTCTAAAGAGGAGGAAAGCGACACGGGTGTAATTGCAGCCACCTCTGTTTAGCACGCTACGTGGGATGTGTGGCAGACGTACCTCTTAAAGTACTGTGACAGATTGAAGCAAGTTCTTCCTGTTAAAGAAACCGTGTCGCGTGCGGAGGGTAAAAAGCCAAAGAAAGGGGAATATAACACTCGGCTAGTCTCTGAAGGCTGTGTTCCGTACCAACGTACACTCATATGTACTCATGGTTGAAAAAAAATGAAAGTCTAGAAGCGAGGGTAGCCGGTCTCCTCAACACATCCGTCAAACCGACTTCTCATTCAGATTTGTAGTGCAATGAGATTTGACTCGATTGCATCTTTAATAAAAAATATTTCACTCGCAACTATAAAGTTTCTGTAGTGGTTTACGCGACGTATCCTGTTTCTCGTGGAATCGTTGAGACTTTGGTAGGGGTGCCTGTGAAAGGGACGCTGTCTGTAGGCGCAAAGAGGTCGGAAATACGCCTACCTACTGTACTTGATGCTGACTAATATGTAGTTCAGGTAGATGTGGACAGTTTGGTTCCAGAACACACCTCGTCTGTGTCTTCCGTTGACGACACCGAAGCGTCTGCGTGAGAAATTGCTCCGCTAGCAGCGGCGCATTGTTCGTTGCGGAAACAGACTGTAAAGAAGGCGTGATCTCGTTAGCTACTCCGTCAAAGCAGCGTATGTACGGCCGATTCAGCGAGTTTCTCCTCGTGGACTGCCGTCACAAACCAAACATGTGAGAGATCTGATAAGTCCAGTATTTTCCAGGGCTTTATTTTGTACATAATAATCTACGTATTTTTTTTTTACGTATTGACAGCTTTGCTTTATTACCGCTCAGATATCATTACCAGCTCTTGCCCTTCATGACATGAACGAATTTGGGGATGGTGCAGTTATTCAACACTCTCTTATCGAAGCCAACGAAGACTGACACATCGAGAGATCGATCGCTCACATCAAACGCTCCCATCCTACTTAGAATAATTTGCTTCGCGCTAACGTGGTAGACAAAGATCTCAATGATATCTGCGTGATAGAGGCCATTTTTCTGGGGTTCGCATTTGATTTGTCATTTTCACGCTATTAAGTACTTGAAAAAAAAATTCAATCCAAGCCGGACTTTGAAACAATATCATCTGCGGATGCAAGTCAAGGGGATGCTGCATGCCACAAGTTGGTTTATGCAGTGAGCGAGGGGAGCTACGATACAGCTCATTGATCGCTTAGGGCATTTGTGATCGCATCGGATAGACAGAATTATTTACATGTTTCGGTAAGAATTAAGGTTCTCGATGGGTGTATTGCTGTCAAACCGCTCTTCCGCACCTCAAAAACCGCACCAATAATAACTTAGATAACTACTTTGGTAAGCCCAAGGAAGATGTGAGCTGTTCGATGAGCATGGCGGGATGCGTTAAAAACTATACTTGCGTATGACAAACGCGTATAGGTTTGCCAAGGATGGGATAATTCGTAATTAGTATATTTGACGAGGTTATCACGAATGTGCTCCGATTCCCTACACAGGTCGGAAAACATCCGTAAAATATCTACGGTATTTTCCGTGTACAATTTTTTGTCTTTTCATACCGTGCAAAATACAGCCAATAGAAGCTTTCTAGAAGCCGGTTAGGTGTAACCGGCTAAAACAGATCGAAAATAGGTATGACCGCTTTTTGTTAGTATCGACTGGCCGAAACTCGCCGGGCACGAAAGCTAACTCTTATTCCTACTCTTTAATTTGCTATTCTACCTAGATCTACACACACGCGCACGACACTATTGTGTCTCTTGTACACAAAGTCGATACAGCTCAAAGTGGAGACAGTTCACTATTTGTAGATATTTAGAAAAACAGATGGAACTCCGAGAGCACAACGGTTTAATCAAAGGAAGTCAAAAATAGAGCCATAGCCTGCCTAAACTTTGTCATTAGTTCCGTGGGATCGCTTCTGATGGACATCTCTCACTTCTGGAATCATCGCTCGATGCTCGGAGCTGTTGGCGTAACCACTATTCTCGCTGGTATGTTTCTTCAGCTTATCGGCACGAATCTTGCGCTTGCTGCGGATATGATGAATCAAGATGCCATTCTTCCAATGCTTATGCGAGATCTCGAAGCAAGACACCGCTTACCGAGTGCTTCAATGTGTTGCAAAGGAAGGCCTGAGCTGCTAGAGCATTTTTAGAAGCCTTTTGCAACTTACACTCGCTGCAAAAGAACGTAGTATCACCCCCGCGCGTCTT